GGGCAACCTCTCCCTTTTCTCCTCATTCGTCGGCCCTGCGAAGTCTCTCAACGCAGTGGACGTGCTCGGACGTCTACCTACGCCCTTCTCTTCTTACCCCGCCAAGCCGTCCTTCCTTCACCATGATCCTCGTTTACCCGTCGTCGTGGTTGTACCTCGTGCCGCCGCGCCGCGGCCACCAGCTTGGCGCCCCAAATAGTCGCGTAACCAAAGACGCGCCTCTGGCCTGGCTTGGTCGCGCCAGACTTCTCGGCGCCCAAATGATGTACATCGACCATTTCTGTCTCACTTCTTCCTTCGCACTCGCTCACGCGGCTATTATAGCCTTCGCTTTCCGCGCTCTCCTTCCACGAACTTATACACGGGAAAGGCCGACGGGAAGGAGGTTTTATAGAAATGATAAAGAACAACGAGAAGAAAAAGATAGATCAGCCAAGTCTCTATTTACCGATGTCCTGAAACTTTGCTTTCAATCCAATATTTGTGTGGCCTATCTTATTCAAATAACGAAAACTAACATGTTTGTATACATAAATATACGAAATAAATGGAAAAAAAAAAGAATATAAAGTTTAATGAGACTTGTATTGAAAATCTTTAAATGTCTTTCCAACTTTTTTGTTTGACTTGTAGATAAAAGGATCAAGTTTGTTGGCAAAACGAGACAGGCGGTCGCCTACAGACGCTCAATTTCGTGGTGTGTGTGTGTGTGTGTGTGTGTGTGTGTGTGTGGGTGTGGCGAATCGTTCAGCGACTTCGATGGCGATGAGGCGATAGATTAAATCTAATCTCAGAATCGTATTAAGTTTTGTTTCAGTTGGCCCTCATTCAAAAATTTGCGTTATTATACCCTGTATATTTCATATTGATTGCTGTTGCCAAAATTTGTTTCACGCATTTAGATTTTCATTATTTCTCCCATTAAATTCTACGTCTAATATATGCCGTTAATTCCTCTTATTTCACAATTTGTCAACTACCCGTAATATTTATCGAAGTTATGTATAGTACACAAAACAGACAGGCTGCATTTCTGTAATTTAATGATTGATATCTGGCACTAGCTCTGTTACGTTTTCGTAATACACGAAGGTTTCCGCATTTTACGCTTTGTATTTATAGATTCACGAATATTTGCGTTTTGACTTGGCATCGTCCATGTAATTCCAACAGTACAGTCGATAGATAGCAGCGGATTCGTTGCGGAAAGAATTCGTGAACTATGACACGTTGTGAATATATAAGTGCGATAAGCGACCATGGCCATTGGGAAACAACTGTATATGTACATACATATTCATCTTTTATCCAGAATAAAGAGCGGCACTTGTTGAAATCGTAATCGTACATTTATAAGCTAAATTTATTTATGTGCATACTAACTGAAAGAGCAATACACACATGTACACACAGTTACGTTAATGCATGCGTGCATACATGCAGCGTATATTACGTGTCGTGTATGCGTGCATAGCGTCGAATCTAATCATATAGCAGGGACGGACGGATCGACTAAACGTTAGTATATTTTTTAAACTAAATTGGATTTACATCTCGATGATCTAAATAAACAGAATATTTTAGAATGTAAATATTAATAAGGAACTCGTAGAATAATAATTATTATTTACTAGTTCTTTTTCATTCTTTTGTTACGATATTTTCATAAAAATATCTACCCACATAATACGTTTTATCCGACAGATAAAACTATTGGGTCATCTAAAAAGTATCCGCGGTTTTTTATCTAGATGGTGTTGATGGTCAACACATCTAGTGACAAAAAACCGCGGATACTTTTTAGATGACCCAATATTACTGGAATATCCTCAAGACATTCAGAGGATATATAGGGCTTCTTTGAACGTCCGTTGGAGGTCTATCCAATAGATACTTATATTTATTTTATAATAAAAAATTATCGTTTTTCAAAGCTGAAAAACATGAGTAAATTTATCTAATCCATAAAGTTATTGAATTAATGTTGAATTAGTCCCTGATTATGCAACGCGTACACGTTAAATGTTGCGCGTTCAATGAGATTCGAGAATCGAGTCAGCCCGCGTTGTGTAGAAATATACCTCCTCCGTAGGCGGTCTACGATGGCGCCTACTCGTGCGCATACCTGCCTACCTGTAGCCCGTAGCCCGTAGCCCCCGAACAGGCTAACCTCAGGCGGAACCGTCGACTCTCCAACGCAACGGCTCACGAAACTCTCATTTCACCGAGATTCCTCCGTCCGTGCGTCACGAGAGATACGCCCGTCTCTACGCGTATCCGTTCGTCGCACGCAGCCGGTAGCCATCGCAAAAGCGGACAATCGAGAAGCGAACGAGCGAACCAGCGAGAAACGCACAATGAATGAATCGACTCAATCGACGCGACGACGGACAGACGCATGGACGGAAGAACAGATGCACGGACGGACGGACGGACGGATGGACGGACGATCGGTCGGTCGATCGATGCAATTCCGTTGCGCAAATTCAGAAAACAGTGAAAAGAAACCTTATCACGCTTGTGTGTGGACGTTCACCCACCGACACACACGTACGAGAGAACTCAGCCCCGCGGTGCAACATCGATGATTTGTTTTTTTTACGAGTTTGACATATACACGTGTATATGTACGCACACGCACTAACCTTTATCTTATCATTGGTGAAGGCGGATCGAGGTTGACTGGTTGTTTGCTATAGTAACAAGACTCAACGATTCAACGCTCTTGCTCCCTCTTTCTCTCTCTTCCCCTTATCCTTCTATTGAGAAAGTAGAATTCCACGAGGGTGAAACATGTATATATACATACATATATGTATATATATATGTATATATATAATCACCCCACAATTTCGATCGCAGGGGATTCACGACGGCGCGAAATGCGCTGCATTTCCGTTCGGATAGCGATTTGCTTTATCGGCCGAGCAATTAAAAAAAAATGATACGCGCGGTAAAAAGATGCTGTTTTATCCGTAGGACGCGTGTTATCGATGTTTCTAAAATGGACTGGTCAATTGATATTCTCGCGCAAATACAGCCGTTACAAAAACGTTAAAAGAGCCTAAAAAATGTGAATAGAAAGAATGAATAGAAAGAACTTTATAATAACGAAATATTAGCCAAAAATAGATATTAAAATTTATGAAATTATATAACTTTTTTTTGCGTTTATGCATGAAATATATAATTATTTGAAGGACAAACGTTGAGTTTAGAAAATAGGGACTCGCGTTTATCGAGACGTTTATTTAAACAAACGCAGTTGCTCTATCTTTAAGTATGTCAAACGATATCGGTCTATAATTATTCATCGTAATAATAAACATACACACGTGCACCGTTCATATAATATGTTTCTATATTCAGATCGATTAGTCACTAGTTCGGTATAATGGTTTGTTGGCGCACGATCAGGCCGATGATTTATTTACATGAAGAAATTGTAAAATATCAATTACTTGATCGATAATCGAATCTATTTTTAATTTCTGAAATGAGTGATCTTTGCCACATTTTCCGTAGCTTTAATTTTTATAAATAATATTTTACTTGCGCAAGCTAATCCCTTTATAGAAAAATGAATCTTATATCATTTACATATTTGCCATATAAGCTAAAAGTTTTGGCGATTCTGTAGGCACTGTACCATTTCTGGCAAGCAGATCTGTAAATAAATGGTTAGAAAGGAAAAAAAGATTCTGTCAAAACTGATCTGAGTTTAATTATTGAAACATTCGCGTATATAAATAGGGTACAAATATATGTGATTGATGCGTATTGATGCGTATGTGTGTTCATTTCTGAATGTTACTGCACAGTTCGACTTAATAATATATATATAAATATATACATTTTGTAAATTGTTTTAATAAGGAGTCACATAAGCGTTTCTAAATAAATAAATATTGTTTCAACACAATATAAACTCGATAAAAATTTCAATAATTTTAATAATTCTAATAATAATTTACTTCAATTCTTTCCTTTATCGCCTCCTTAAAAATGTATTCTGTAAATTAAAAAGAAATTTCAAACAATTCAATTATTAATGAAACTATCTTTTTTAATCTTTATTCTTTTGATTAAAAAAAAAATCGTCAATTTTGTTTGTGACCCTTTTAGAGCAAGCACCTTAACCGGAAGTCTTAATTTACTCCACCCAATTTATAAATTACGTAACGTCTCTAGAGTAGAAAAAAATTCGTCTATAATATCAAACTGATGATATGACACTATATTCCAAATGAATACGTATTTTTTATTTATAAATTACTTAATTAATTGTAAAGAAATAAAATGATTGTAAAATTGATTCTTATAAAGTGTATATTTTCGAATCAAATACTTTTATTCCTACTTTTATGTTAATATGTTTCCCTCGTCTCAACATTTACGCCATAAATTAACAAAATATAATATACTGAAGTATTTATTTACATATTTATTTTTAAAATAAAGATTTTATTTCAAAATAGATATTTACGTGCTCACATTCATTATGGCAGTATTTGAAGAAGCGAGAAGAATGTTCTGCAAAATATTTATAAATTGAGCGAGTTTATAAATTGAGTGGAGTTAATAAATTGGGAGAAAATATCATTGTCCTTATAGAATTATTCGGCCACTTATCTCGCCGATAGTACATTGTACCTCGAGTATTTCTTGTCTTAACATTCTGAACGCGTACAGCTAAAATTTCAAAGTCTTTCGAGTTTCAGAAACACGCAGAAGACTATCTACATCTCAATAAGTGAATGATCGAGTGCTTCTCTTTTATCATTTCCAGTATCAGTACGAGTTTCACGAGTAGAGGTACTCCTGCTTGTAAGTCTTGAAAGAGTTTTAGCGGCTTCTTACAAGAAGTTCGTACTTTGAGACATTTCCTTTGCCTCAGTTAATTCAGTTCCCAATTCCAACACCAATTCTAATTGCTATAATATTGATGGTTTTTTTCAGATGAATGAAACTTGTGCACGTGAATAAAATTTATCGTTATCTTTTTCTTCGTAAGATTTCTTCTTCTTTTTTTTTTAAAATACGAACCGCTTCAAGAATTCACTAAATCCGAGAAATATATTTTCTCGATTATTCTCTTTTTTTTCCTTCATTCGTCTATGCTTAATCGCTATCTTAATGCTATTTGTATCATTAAAGACGTTAGTGAAGCGTGAACCTTTAAATATCGCTAGTCTTGATACGGGTTACAAATCGATCTCCGTTACTAAATCAAAACTGTCTCAATCGTTTGGACATACCAAAAAAATTTCACTCGAGCAACATTAAAAATAAATTCGTCGCTCGCTCCTGTTCTCCTTGCAACCCGATCAGAAGTAGCCACTAGAGGACACAGTTAGCTGTTTCTAAGAATATTCTTAAATAAAATCTACTGATTGCATTTTCAAGGTGGTCTTAGTCGCGAGTGAGCTCCGCGAAATATGTCGTATGTGTACGTATGCGTGTGTTTGTATGTATGTGTGCGAAAGAGTCGCCAACTTTTCAACACTTCCAACGTCCGACATGCGCAAACTATCATTCAAATTTCAATCACAGTTGCTGATGTAGCATTGTGTTTTCCTCATATGTAAAAATAAATCGCGTCAGCACAAAAAAAAACCAGTCACAATTGCTATTTCAACAATATTTCAGCACATTTTAGTGGCCAAAAATAAATAGCTTATTAAGTACATGCATCCACACGAAGTGGTTGTATATGAAAGCCTGGCAGTCGTCTAATATATTTAGCATTTAACGAAAATGTAATATTGCACTGTTACAATTTACGCATTTGTTATATAATCTGTGATCGTCTTAAAATATGTTACCTTCGTAAAAGTTACGATATTCATGAGCTGTTTCTTGCTAAATATTACTTCAGCTAAGACGAGTCGAGTCATTCTCTTCATCCGAGATCTCGAAATCGCGTAGGTGTTTGCATTTCAATATATGCATAGTACAAGAGATTCATATAATCTTCATCTCGGTCAAAGTAATTTTTAATATTTGCGTAGACTTATTTTCATGCGTTCTATTATTAATAGTTTTAAATAATTCTGTCAAAAATGTCGGTCTATATTAATAAGCATTATAGTGTCACCGATAATATCAGTATTCATTGATATGGTATAATCGATTTCTATAATCGATCTCCGTATAATCATAAATGATATATGTTGTATAGAATGCTAAATGCATTAAGAGTAGTTCAGATGCGCGTCATGATAATATGATTATCTCTTTTGAATATCGATTTCTTATCTTCCATCTCTTTATGTGTGCGCTTTATCCATTGTAGATATAATGAAAATGAACATACAATAGAAATGAAAGGGCGAAGATGAATCCTTTGATAACTTACGACATGAGTATGCGTGTGTGTGCGTGTGAATGTATGTGTGAACTCTCGCACTCTTCGTTATTCGTCATTTTTTTCCATTTACTTTTGCAAATGCGCTCTGCGAACGAATCTTTTTCGTTCTTTAAGGCATCATTTTGCGAGGTGTCAGCCATTTCTTCATATAGTAACAGAAAATCGTAGAAATATAGATGAGCACCAAAAGAGCACACGTCACCCCAAGCGCTAACACTGAAGTTTTCGTTGGACATGGCTCCACAATGGTCACTGTTTTGTCTGCAAACACAATAGCGTATTCAATTTTTGTAGCGAGCGTTAAAATATTTTATTTCCAGGTATACGAATCTGTGTGTGTGTGTGTGTGTTTTGTGTATTCATAATTTTACCTGCTTCGTTAAAATCTATGCTAGCATCGCTCTTTAGAAAATCGGACTGTTTCTCATCGCCAAAGTCGAGAACTAAAATCTCTTGAGACAGAGTCATATCTTCAGCTTTCTCTTCCGTCGAGTTTGCAATACTTCTTCTGCGTCTCTTGCCCCATGATTCCACGGATTCACGTCCCCACTCACAAACAGCCTGAAATGAAAGAAATTATTAGAGGCTTCCTTTTCCTATAATAAGAGAAATGAGAAATCAATTAATTACCGGTTCGCAAGGTCCCAGACAGTATTTCACGTTACATTGGAAGATCACGCCGTAAGATTCGGTGAACCTAAAGGCCTCGTATACAGATTGCAGAGCGTTACCATCGGGAGTGAAACTGGGGAAGATGGAAGGATCGACGGGACATCTGAAAATTTAAATGTTTAAGATTTTGTTAGCTTTTTATTTTTTTTTTATTAAGCTTAAATGAGAAATATTAAACAGAATAAAATAGACTTACCCTTCGTCGTCGATAATTTGAAACGTGCTTTTCGAGTCCTTTGCCATAGCTACGCAACTACGAGCGAAAATGCCGTAAGGAGCTGCAAAATATTAATTTTTGTAAATTGTCAGATACTCATTGTATCGTTATTGAATTAACTTTTTTTTCTTTTTTAAGAGAAAAATTAATTTGCTGAAAGCAAACTTACTGTCTTCTGGGATTTCGATTCTGAATGTCAATTTGTCACCAATGCGTACAGTTTCAACTTCTCGCGATCGGCTGTCGAGGATGCGAATTCTTGGTGGAGGCGCTTCTGGTGCACTAGTAATACTGATCATTTCTGGATCTCTGATCGGCATCATACCAAATGTAATATTCTTCGAGGACATATCATATGTGCATTTAACTTTGTAGATTTTGTCGGCCTTTGTCATTACCACGGAATGATGTTGCAGTACAACCGTGTTTGAATATATTCCAGTCTGAAAACCGTCACGCTGCCATGGTGAAAAGAAAGTACAACAGAGATTATGTACTCAAAGAGAGAGGGACGTGCATTAACGTAAATTCTTTATAGATTTTTTTTTAATATAAAGATGTGAGAAAACAATTATGTTGCGTATTGATGACAGTGCAGTGTGTTAGTCAATGATCAAATGTGACAGATTGAGAATGTTGGGCATGTGATACAATATTTGTAATAAGTGCTAATTGCTTGAGGTAATTTCTTTTAAGCATGCATATTTCTCAGGCATCAATAGAAAATATTGTAATTATAAAATTGTAACATATGCAAGAATAAATATTTAGAAGAATCCAAACAAAATAATTTTCAAAAATTATTACAATTAAAAAAACTCTTTAAAAAATGTATTTACATTACTTTTCAATGTTATTATCATTATTTTATATATTATACTTACCACGCTTTGAGTGTTACAATCTTGTCCGCTCATCGTGAGGTCGAGCCTGAAGAGATCGCTATTAATAACATCAATATTACAAGTCTCAGATCGTCCGAGAGCATAAATACGTCCATTGAAAGGCTTATTTGTACGAACTTGGACAGCAATACGAGTATCTTTGCAGTCAACCGATACTGTAATATTAATCATTAAGATCAATATTAAATTAGACAAGATTGATATTAAATTTACATTTTTATATGATATTATATTATTATATTTATTCCGTACCATCATAACAAGTTCCAGTCTTGTCGCAATTGATGTCATTTCGGGTGAGATTGTTTATCGTAGAATCTTCTGTAGTCTCAAAAACGACCGGCAACGGGTCCGATATTGGTCCAGTACCCTCTAAAATAATAACGTGTGATTAATACATCGCGCATACATGTTTAAATTCTCTTAATCTACATCCCTTACTTTCGCAGAAATTTTCAAAGTAGGTGCCAACTCGTTCTCCATTATCGATCAAAGGCCTCTCCGCGTTAAGATACGTGGAAGGTCCATCTGGGAGAGTCCAATGATCCAAATGGAAGAGCTGACAATTATAAGCCGACCCTTGTGGCGCACCGCGATAAAGGAAAGATCTGCAAAGAAACTCGTTCTCGATTTCGCAGGCTAATCGGCAAGCGGACTCACTTTGAACCTGCAACTCTTTATCCGTGTAATAATGCAGGCCCGCATATTGTGCAACCTTATCGTCTGCCACACCGATTCTGGGCATCTGGAAGATCCTTTGAGCCTTACATGCCTCTTTTCCTATTAGCAACCGATTAAATAGACAAGTTTTATTTCTTTTTCATCGACAATATATCTAGAATTATTTTTTCAACATTTTCCTCACAACCGCTTACCTTTCAGGCATAAATTTTCGAAATAATCCACTCCTTGCGCATCCACGAATTGAACGTATTGACCCGTCGTTCGACGATCTGAATCGCTCAGATGACACTGGAGCGTCACATAATTATATTCAACGGAGCGACAGGTGAAGCGGTGCTCGTTTAAGCAAGCCGCGAGACAAGCTTCCTTTGTGGACGTGTAAATTAATGCGTTGTCCAATCCGCGAATCATTTTATTTGAGATACGCTCGAAGGCCCATGGTCGTAAACAAACGTTCTCTAAAATAATATAGATCTATAGAGATATTTTTACTTCTCTTTTGTATTATGTATGCATTCTAATAACACTTATGATACAATCTGTGCAGATTTGTCTAACGCGTTTTATTTGTAACTATACAAATATTCTAATATATTTTATTATATAATATAATAATTATAATAATTTTACTATAATAATTTTACGATTCAGCTAAATAATATCTTGAAAATTAACGCATTTTTTTCATTTTCTCCTTAAAAACAAATAGAAAAAAATCAAAGAAATCACCAGATAAAAGTCAGAAAAATCACAATTCTGATCCAAATAAATTTATTTATATTCGATTAATACTAAAAGCATCAGGTAAAAAATTAGATCATAAGATAACTAAAAATATTGTTAATAATTTGGAAGATCTCTTTAACTTATTGCTTTCTTTTTTGAAATGATGAAACATTTATCATGATTCCCGGAGTATGACGTAATGAAAAACGGGAGGATTGTGTGAAGCCCATTGCTAAAGATTCTGTGATGAAAAATCATGAGACGCTATCATGTGACTTGGCATCGTTATCTGATGATGACGCACGTAACTACGCTTTTTGGCACATGGGCCCGGAATGTATTTCGGCCGATCCCGTTCGGCGTTCCAATTTCTTTTGTTACACCCTCAAAACTGGCGCTAGAGTTGCCGATGATGGCGGAAGCGGTGCCAACGAACCGCTGGGACGCATGGCTACTTCACGGATGAATCATCGTCGACCGTACAAATTCTTGACCGTGGCCGCTGACGACAAATCGTTCGTTCTGAGCGAAGCTTCGTCAACTAATAAGGCACCCATTATTTTGTCAATCAATTATGTAAAATATTTATTGAATTCTACATTCAATTCTAAAAAATCTTGCACAATTTTTATGGAAAATGACAAAATTGGCTGTAACTTTACTATTTTATAATTTACGTAATAATGATTTGTGGCAAAGTTAACATTGTCACAATTTCTGCAAATAAATCATTTGACTTCAGACGGTTAGTTTAGAAATCCCAGAGTTATCATAAAAAATTAATTTTAAAATTCTCTGACTTTTCTAGGTTTTCCAGATAAAAATGGGAAATTTTCATGACCAATATAAAATATGTGAAAATTTTAATATTCAAAAATATGTAAAAAATTGTAATATTTAAGAATCAAGAATTGTAAGAAAGCTAGCTTATATTATTGAAAACTTAGTAGATAAAAGAAGCTTGGTAGCATAATAAAATTTTGAGGACAAATTCAAGGGTAATTCAATAAAAAATAAATTAGTATTGAAAAAAAAAATGTTATGATGAAAAAGAATGATCAAATGAAATTAATGAATAAAATATAGATTTTAATTATTTTTAAAAAGTTATTTAAAGTACACGAGTTTTCAACGTATTTGACTATAAACGTCAGATATAATATTTAAAGAATTACAAAAATTATTTAGAATAGGAGCAGTTTAAGCGATTGTGAGTGAAAAGTTCCAGTCTCTTTTATATTTTCCCCTGATTTTTCTCGGTTTTCTATGATCAATTTCAATTTCCCTGACTTTTCTCGGTTTTCCAGGTATGTGACAATCCTGTAAATGAGTATTACTTCTTATATAGATCCCAGAAATATGAAAAATGTTTTCTAAAATATCCATTCACAAAGATACAATAATGTATTTTTTCATAGAAGCGTGTTTTAAATAGTTTTAGCTCAGTTCCATTCTTTCTTTTCAAGAATTGTATCCCTTATATATTTTACGAGCAAGGGCACAGCAAGGATAGAACACAAAGACAAACTGGCAAATAAAGTGTCTTTCTTTTGCAAGGAAAATTGAAGAAAGGTAAGACTTATGTAAAATTTTGCAGTTTATAAACGACTTGTAACGATCACTGGAACAAAGCCCATTCTTTTGAAATTTTGTTCATCCTGTTTATCGGTCGAAGTAGGTAGCAAGCGATTTTACGAACACAGAGTGCCTCACAAAGCGCGAAACAACTCACCAAGAAAATCGTTTTACTCATTAAATAGACAACATGCAATTTCTTGAAGCGCAAGAAATTTTCCTCCAAAAATTCCCGGATTATACGGAAGAGCACATGTTAAAATATTGAATAAAATCAGATATTAATATTTAAAGTATTGAAAAATTTCACAAAAAATATTGCTTAATCATATACAACTGTGAGAGAAATGTATTCTAATAGATTAATTAAAATAAATAAGCTACAAAGATTATATTTGCGTACAATGACGTCGATTTGGAAAAAATATTAGGAGGGAGGGGAAGGGGATAAGGCAAAAACATTTCAAATAATGATCTTTTTTTTAATAGTCTTTACATTATCGAAAGAGGGAGATAGAAATGTATTGAAGTATGTAGATTATCTTTTACATGAAAAACAAATTGTACAAACAGAATATTCAATACATGAAATCAAAAAAGAAATTTCTTTTCGATTACAGATAGCAGACGACACGTCTAATTCGCAGCAGAGTAATGTTTACGTAGCGTATCGCCTGATCAATGTTTTCTCGCAATTTTAATTATTTGTAGTTAAAAAATATTTTGTTAAAAAACAAAAGATAAAAATTATTGGAAGATGTCACTTTATCAATAATTTTATTTTATGGGAAGGAAGTGAAAAGTGCTCTGTCCCTTTAAGTCAACGTATATGTCTGCGTATATGTGTGTATAGCAGAACATTTTTTTTCAAAAGAAAAGACCTTTTTCTTAGAATATTATTAAACATTCAATGCGGCAAAAACACACAAATGAAATAGTATTCTTAGTGTTCCAATGTAATAAAATGCTTTCATAAATAATGAACTGCGGCATATATCTAAAAAAAGACATTAAATAGACTTAAGTTAATATTAGAACCTTCTTCAAAATTCTAAGAATTTTCAAGGTTTGCACACGTGCAGGTAATACCGTGGCAACCTTTCTGTTTAAACGCGTTCGGCTTAGTTCCCGGATACTCGACTACATTTATTGTAAAGCCGATTCAATGACCTAGCCAGCAAAGAAAATCTGAAAAATAAAGGCTATTTTGGCGCGGATATATACAGGGAAAAACGGACAAAGACTGACTACCTGACCACCTATGAGAATTTTCTTGTAGTTTTCTTCTAAAAGAAAAAAATTGCTTAAAGTACCAACATTTAACTTCAACTTGACGCTATAATGTTAGTTAACTACTGTAATAATTATAATAATATAATTATTTTTTATACAGTAAAATTAATTTTGAAATATTATTTCCTAAAAAATAATCCTTGGTTACTTTTGTCGGTATATATCAATAATGTAGCATGTAAAAATATTACATTATCTTTTCTCTATTATGAAAATTTTTAATAAGTAATTTGATTGATTCTTACTGTTTTAAAATATATTATAAATAACATAATAATATATTTTCTGCATTAAATGTATCCGATTTAAATGTATTTGTAAAGATAAATGACGTTTATTGTTTTCCTAAGCAAATCAAATTGTTTTTAAATCTTCTAACTAGCCGCACTTAATAATTTAAACTGTTTTGTTGCCTGGAAGACTTTTTTTTCGTTCGACAAAATGCTGTTAGTTAGCCTTTGCTTTGAAAGTCGTTATGCCGATACTGTCAAACCTATTCGCTTTGAGTTTAAAACGTATCAGATTATCGTATTTCACGGTCTATTCTTCATATTATTCTGCAACGCACACAAATAACGGTCTTTCCCATCGTAAAAATTTCTTGTGTAAATTATCTTTTTCATTTGTCATTTTTCTTTCTCCGTTTACTATGCTTTTATCCGCCGCTTCCTGGGTAACCAGATCACATTAACGAGTATTATAACAACAGCAGTGCATTTATTATTCCACAGAACATTCAAAAATCGAAAAGAAAGAATGTTGTAAGTATTAAATATTTAACCATTAACTAATGCGCCAATTCTCACCGGATCTTATCTGCAATTTTGTCATATAGTACATATTGGCGGCTCTTTGGGGCTGCGCCGCCGGATTCGTGGCGGCCGTTTCGTTCTGCAGCTGGCAGAGGGTGTCTTGCATCGGCGCCAAGGGATTTACGACAAACGAGAACGCGGCTGCCTGACATTCTGCCTCTTCCCTGCACCATCCTTGGCACTCGTACAACGACAGATTCCTCACGCTGTAATAGGTAGTGCCGCGGTAATCGTAGTCGGTAAGCTTCTCAAACGCCGTCCTGGCTGAAACGTGGAAGCAATTTTGCCTCTACAGAAGCATCCTCAGTACATCCTTTCATTACATGAGCAATCGAAAGGTTCTTATAGAATTCTATTCAACATAAATTTCCATTAGAACGTAATGACGAAAGCCTCGACTAATTTTAGAAAAAACTTACCCAACGCACCGTCGCCGCTCGCCAACAGTGCCATGAATATCAGGCTCGCGGCCGTGGCTGTTACCGTTCCGATCGCAAATGAGCCCATCTGCAATGAGAATGAGGAAACCACAGTTACAGAAGCTGTAATTAGAATTAGCCTGACCGAGTATTGTTCTTCGAATTGGCGTGGAGCTAATTCCTGAACGGAAAAAATAATTTTGCTAAAAAATTTTAAATTTTGCTGAATACAAATCTGAAAACCACTTTGTTGGACTATCAAAATAGTTATACCGGAAATTAAAAAATGACGAACAACGCTGCAAAAAAATGTTTATTCTAGCAATCAGTTTAAATTTAGATTTAGAATAAAATTATTTTAACCGTTCAACAAAATTACTTTTAGATCTGTATCCAGCTAATCCAGCAAAACTATAAATTTTCAATTTTTTTTCAACAAAATTATTCTTTCCGTGTATAGCGTCCTACAAGGAATAATTGTGACGCGCCATGTACCGCCAAATAATTAAAATATTGAGAGTACAAATAAGTTTCCGCCATTTTTATCAAAAATTAAGCATTTATCGTGAAAGAACGGTACATAATGTTTTATTGAAAGTATTGTCGCTAGCCACTACTTTTTCCCATCTTTCTAGCATACGGATACCGTGTTGGAAGAACGCTTCATCTTTTAAGGCTATCCAATTATCGATCCAATTTTTGATATCTTCATATGTTCTTTGTCTTCGACGTCAAATTCACCGTTCTTAAACTTTTGAAACCACTCACGACGACTTCTCTCACTTAAGGCAGCCTCACTATATGCTTCTACAAGCAATCGATGAACCTCAGCTGTAGATTTCTTCAAATTAAAGAAGTAAATCAAAAGTTCCCGCAAATGACGCTTATTCGGCTCAAAACTTGGCATTTTCGCACAAAAAAAAAATATATGATGCTGATACAAAATCGCTAGTATTTCAAGGTTATATTGTTGACTGATGTCCAAACGTCTTACGATATAATGTTTTACATCAGACAATTTTACTCATAGCTTGCTAGTGGCGCCGTCTTTTGTCAAACGACGGAA